TAGAATCACTTTCTATGTCGATTTATGCATGTCCGTCCGTCTGTCCATGTTAAATTATAAACAAAGTACAGGTCGCATTCTTGATGAATGAAATTTGGCAATGGATGAAATTTGGCACAGCTCTTTTATTTGGCCCATGGACGAACCCTATTGAAATTGGGAAAAATCGGTTCAAATTGAGATATAGCTCCCATATATATTTTCGTCCGATTTTAGGTAAATAGTGCACCAAAGTCACTATATATCCTTCGATTTGCACAAAATTTTGGCATTGCGTAATGAATTAAGTCTAGAACTATGTGTGCTAAATTTCGTAGGAATCAATTCAGATTTTGATATAGCTCCCATATATATTTTCGTCCGATTTTATGTAAATGGTTCAACAAACTCCCTAAATATCTTCGATTTGCACGAAAATTAGCGTAACGTACTGAATTAAGTTTAGAACGATGTGTGTTAAATTTCGTAGAAATCGGTTCAGATTTTGATATAGCTCCCATATATATTTTCGTCCGATTTTATGTAAATGGTGTACAAAAGTCCCAATATATCATTCGATTTGCATAGAGTACTGAATTAAGTCTAGAATGATGTGTGCAAAGTTTCCTGAAAATCGGATCAGATTTAGACATACCTCCCATATGTGCACTAATGTCCCTATATATCCTTCGATTTGCACGTAATTTGGCGTAGCGTACTGAATTAAGTCTAGAACGATGTGTGTTAAATTTCGTAGAAATCGGTTCAGATTGAGATATAGCTCCCATATATATTTTCGTCCGATTTTATGTAAATGGTGTACAAGAGTCCCAATATATCATTCGATTTGCACGAAATTTTGCACAGCGTACTGTATTCAATCTAGAACGATGCGTGTTAAATTTCATAGAAATCGGTTCAGTTTTTGATTAGCTACCATATATATTTTTGTCCGATTTTATGTAAATGGTTCAACAAACTCCCTAAATATCTTCGATTTGCACGAAAATTAGCGTAACGTACTGAATTAAGTCAAGAACGAGGTGTGTTAAATTTCGTAGAAATCGATTCAGATTTATATATAGCTCCCATATATAGTTACGCCCGATTTTATGTAAATGGTGTACAAAAGTCCCAATATATCATTCGATTTGCATAGAGTACTGAATTAAGTCTAGAATGATGTGTGCAAAGTTTCCTGAAATTCGGATCAGATTTAGACATACCTCCCATATATATTTTCATCCGATTTAATGTAAATGGTGTACCAAAGTCCCTATATAACTTTCGATTTGAACGAAATTTGGCAGAGCGTACTGTATTAAGTCTAGAACGATGTGTGTTAAATTTCGTAGAGATCGGTTCAGATTTTTATATAGCTCCCACATATATTTTCGTCCGATTTTATGTAAATGGTGCAACAAACTTTCTAAATATCCTTCTATTTGCACGTAATTTGGCGTAACGTACTGAACTAAGCCAAGAACGATGTGTGTTAAATTTCGTAGAAATCGATTCAGATTTATATATAGCTCCCATATATAGTTACGCCCGATTTTATGTCCCAATATGTCTTTCGATTTGCACGAAATTTGGCATAGCGTAATGAATTAAGTTTAGAACGATGTGTGTTAAGTCTAGAATTATGTGTGCTAAGTTTCCTGAAAATCTGTTCTGTCATTTAAGGCGTGGATTTTTTTGAAAATATTTTTTTTTGTTTTTAACTTTTCTTTCATGGACTTTTTTATATGTGGATTTGTTAAATAAATTTTTTGCACTCAATACATAACCTATTTCGTCAGTGGCTGTAAAAAACGAAAAATTCATTATTTAAACGATTGCTCAAAGATAAGCCACAGATTGAGGCCTTGCCATGTGCAAGCTGCATAATAATTTATTTGCTGCTTACGAACATATGTATGTGTGCATATTAGCATAACTACCCCCATTCGGGTCCATTCTAGGCATAAGAGGAAATGTTGCTGCTGTTTAAGGCTGATATTTTGGTACAATTGCCGGACTGGCCCATATGCATAGCAAGCAGAATCTGCGTACTTGGATATGGATTGTCGGCATATTTTCAATTTACTATTTTTGTATTGTTAGCTGGCGACACTGTGATTGGCCCAGGTTCAATGAGAGGGTTCAGTATATCATAGCAAACAAGCAACTTCGCATATATTATTATTATTTGCCTTTTAGTCTTTTGGATTTGGCAAATGAAGTCAAAGCAAAAAAAAAAAAAAAACAATTCGAAAAATATTTAAAATTCAATTAACACGCATGCACACAATGGAGCTATGCTGGATGTTTTCTTCAGTGCGAATGCACTTTTGTGTAAGTTCGCATCCAAGTAGAAAAGAACAGAAAAAAATGAAAATGTTTTTGGAATTTGCATTGCATTCAACGTACGCCTTGCCATGCATCCATCAATCCATCCATCCAGCCAATCGGTCAGCCATATATTTTTGATCTCGCAATTTTATAGTTTGATCACGTTTTTACAATCTGGATTTTATTTATTGTTTGTTTTTTTTTTTTAATTTTTTTGTTAATGCAGTCAATTGTGTGTTTTGAAAAAATATATAATTTGTTTGCTTGGTACTTTGGAAATGTAAACAAAAATGTATTTGAAAATGATTTAAAAAAATCCACACCCTTTGCAGGTCCTTAAAAAAATATTATTAAAAAATTCTAGCCTATTAAAATATATTTTTTAAACCATGCCTTAAAAATATATATTTTTTTGAAATTCCACGCCTATGGAAGATCCTCGAAAAAAAAATATATATTTTTTTTCAATTCCACGCCTATTGAAGATCCTTGGCATAATATTTTATACATTCTCCGCCTATTGAAGGACCTTCAAAATATTTTTTTAATTCCACACCTATTGAAGATTCTTTAAAAAAATGTTAAGGATGTTAATTTTTTGAAATTCCACGCCTATTGATGATCCTTGACAAAATATGTTTTACATTCCACGCCTATTGAAGGTGCTTAAAAATATGTTTTTTAATTCCACGCCTAATGAAAATCCTTTAAAAACTGTTAAGGATGTTATTTTTCTTTTTTTTTTTTTTTTTTGAAATTCCACGCCTATTGAAGATCCTTGAAAAAAATATATATTTCTATATGTATATATTCCTTGAAAAAATATTTTTTTATTAATTCAAAAAAACCCTTACAGGATCTCCCAAAAAATATTTTTAGGTTTATATATTTTTGAAATCACTGTCCTTCCTCCTAATGGATATTGAACCCATGCAAATATCTCGCGATTATATAAAGAATATTTCATATGGCATAAAAATGAGACGTTTATTTTTTTTTCATATATAATCAAATTAGAATAAGCAAAAACTGCCTCAATACAATACAGTGAGCCTGTGTCATATGAAGAAAAAGAAAAACAATAAAAATCCATTTAAAGATTCAATTTTCAATATAACCAATGCCACGCTACACTTGACTATTATCGGTATAGGGTTCAAACAAAAATAAAATTCTCAGTCGGATTTTTTTATTCTCGTTAACCCAAATAGTTGGATATGAAGGTCAGCAAATTTAATTAAAAAAAAAAAATTAAAACACAAATGGTTTTTGTTTTTGATATCGATTTTGTTTGTATTGAAAATTGTTTTTATTTTTCTATTATTATTATTCTATAAGCATCTTTGTGACCATAATCTTGATATTTTTTCTTCAAAAATAAATATTGTTTTTATTTTTATAATATTTAAAATTTAAATAGATAATTTTTTATATTTTTTTGTATAAGCATGATTTTGATACCAATATTTTTTAAATATATTTTATATTGCCTATAAAGTTGGTGTATAAATAAATGTATTTGAGAAAAAAATGTCTAAAAAATATTCCCTAATTTTTTGTGTTCAATTTGAAGCCACAGCATTTGGTTTCTTTATTATTGTTAAAAAAATAATTAATAAACAAAAATAAAATTCTACAAAAAATAAATAAATAATTTAAAAATTTTACTTTTTTTGAAAAGGAATATTCAACCGAAGATTCTTATCGAATCTGTAATACAATTTGATGAATTTCGAGATGATAAGAATGAAAAATTCACGAGTAAAGGTAGGCATTTTATAAATCCCAGAAGCAATTTTTTGCATATCGTTGCAAAAAAAAAAAATATATATATATATATGTTATAATTTTCATTTTTCATGGTTTAGACTTATAGAATGTTCAGACCGATCGGATTTAATTTTTACAAAAAAATGGAACAAAAGCCTTGAAGAAATTTACTTTTGTATTTTCTACACATTGCCAAAATATCGAAGACATTTGAATAATAAAAAAAGACAAAATCTGAAAATTGTGTTTTTTTTTTTTTTGTTAACAACAATTGGATGTTGATAAAAATTTATTTCTTAAAGAAAATAAAGAAGATTTGGACAATAAGATTTACACAGACAAATAATTGAGACTAATTTCTTATAGCAAATATAGCCCAGCTAATTTATAAATATATTTCAATTATCTAACAAGAAAATTATTTTTTTTTTTGGAAAGAATTTGAAAACTCTTTTTTTACTTTATAAAAGTAAATTTCTCATAATATATATTTGAGAGAAAATTCTTTTAAAATAATGTTTTTTTTTTTAAATTTATAATTGTTAAAAATTTTACAATTATCAAGAAGAAAAAAAATTGTAGCTTTACTAACTTTTTTCTTTTTGTGATACATCCTTGCTTTGCAAATCATCTAACTAAAACTAAACAGAAAAAAATTCTAAAACAATTTGTGAAACTCTTATTCAATATAAAAATAATAAATCAAATAATATTTAAAATATTTGAAAATAAATTTAAACTAAATTCTAAATTAATTATAAAATAGTAAAACAAATCACAGCTTGGAAAGAAAAAAATATAATGTTTCAAACTATAGGTAAATATAAATATAAACAAAGGGGGTGGTTGGTTGTTTTTTGTGACATATTTCACTTGTGATTAAAACGTCCGTCGTGTTCTGTGACGAACGGAGTTATTTACATGCGACTACAGAAATTATACAACAATTGTTTGTCCTCGAAATGATAGACATTGTTGATGTGACGTAAAACACGGCCATTGACCAAATGTTTGGCATAATGCACCGCTTCCAGGCGATCTTTGGATAGGCCCACCTCAATAAGCCAGTCGACAAATTCGCAGCCATAAAATACTTTGCGATAGGTTTTAATGCGCCATCTGTAAACAAACAAACAAACATGATTTAATATGAAAATAATTTAAAAAAATATATTTTTTCATTTTGTATTCACCTGCGATCCTTGGCAATATCCTTCTTACAATTCTCCAAGTGATGTGTTCTAAATTGTTCGCAAATGTGCTTGGTCTCTTGACTAACCTGTGACCAATGTGGTAGTGTGACAACATTAGCACCATACCTAAAAATAGAATAAATAAAAAATGATTTAAAAAACTGTTTAACTGTGCCTTCCCAAAAATGTCCCCTCCTCCCAACTTACCATATTTTCCGCCACAGCTTAATCAATGGTCGCAAGAACTCTCCAATATCTCCTATAAACACAGCCATTACAATTAAACTTTGTCCGAAATTTAAGAATGCATCCAGGAAACTTAATTCTAAATAGATTCCCGACATTCCCTCCATAACCAGAGTCCAAATGGAGACAGCCAGACCCTGAAAAAAGTGAATATTTCAAAAATTAAAATAAATTTTCAATTATTTATTTTCCATATTCCGCAATATATACCACAAACATTGAGCACAGCAATATAATAAGCAAGACAATGTGTTTCAATGTCTGATGTTCATCACCATCTGTGGCATGTTCCAGTGGTTCCAAATCACGTCGCGTCTGATCTTCATAGCGTTCAATAATCGATTGGCAATTTTGTGATGTGCTGGCTCCACAATTAAACGATGGATTACAAATGCCGGAACGTATGCCATTGTTACTAAAAACAATAAAAAGAAAAAATTAATTATAAAAATATAAGACGTGGAATTTTATTATTTTTTTGAAAATATTTTTTATTTTTTCAAAAAATGTTAAATTAAAATATTTTTTTTAAGAAATCTCAAAGAATTAAAATAAAATGAATTTTCAGAATGATGTGTGTAAAATTTCGTGAAAATAGGTTCAGATTTAGATATAGCTCCCATATATGTTCGACCGATTTTATGTAAATGGTTCACCAAAGTCACTATATATCATTTGATTTCCACGAAATTTGGCATAGCGTAGTAAATTGAGTCTAGAATGATGTGTGTGAAATTTCTTGAAAATTGGTTCAGATTTAGATATAGCTCCCATATATATGTCCGCCGATTTTATGTAAATGGTTCACCAAAGTCCCTATATATCTTTCGATTTCCACGAAATTTGGCATAGTATGCTGAATTGAGTCTAGAATTATTTGTGTAAATTTTTTTGAAAACCAGTTCATATTTAGATATAGCTCCCATATATATGTTCGACCAATTTAATGTAAATGGTGTACCAAAGGCACCAAATTTTGCACAGCGTACTGAATAAACCCTAGAACGATGTGTGTGAAGTTTCGTGAAAATCGGTTCAGATTTAGGTATAGCTCTCATGTATGTTTTCGCTCGATTTAATGTAAATGATGTACCAAAGTCCATATATATATATATATATAGATTTGGGCGAAATTTGGAACCCGTCCAGATTTAGATATAGCTCCCATATAGTTAAGTCCGATTTTATGTAGGAACAAAGGACCCAAAATATGTCCATTAGGAACAAAATTAGTCTAGCCTAACCTGTGACAAGTTTCGTTGAAATACGTTCATATTTGGAGTAGCGTCCATATCTATTTTCATCCGATTTAAAGTAAATGTTTCACCAAACTCTTCACCATTTGTTCAGAATAGAATGACGTAATTGCGCGTAGAAGTACAGATTTAGTGCATATATTTCCGACCGACTTCGCTCCAAATAGACAACCGATGCCCGATTGATATTTGCTTTAAATCGATTTACATAATTTTGTACCATTGTAACAAACGAATGGCATGTTTATGGATTGATCTAAGTCGATTCACATTTAGATAAAGGTCACATATTTTAGTTCATCCAAATTCATGTTAATGGCCCTTCTGTTAGGATGCATCTTTTTAATATACCCATAGTGGTGAAGGGTATCATATAGTCGGCCCCGTTCGACTTTACTACTTTTCCTATTGGTTTGTTTTTAATATTGGATTTTCTAAATATTTTTTAGCAATTTTTGGAAAATAAAAAAATTCCAAGAATTCACTTCAATTTAAATAAAAAAATTCAAAATACTTACACTTGATTTAATTGTTCGTCTTTGGGTTGGGTGATATCCGTTTCCTCGGAATCTTTTTTACTCTGCTCCAAATTACGTTTGTTCAGTAGATCTTCAATGTCAACGACCACTGTTGTTGTGGGACTTGTTGTTGTTGTACTACTGGATGAACAACAATTGCCACTGCCGCAACCACCAACATCTGCATTACCAGTAGTAGTTTTATTCGAATTGGTTACGGAACCATTACAAGCACCACCACCAGCATTTCCTGTATTTGGTAGCATATCATCATCATCGGATGAAGAGTAGGATGTATAACGGCGTCTTTGATGTAAATTGCCGGAATTCGATAAAAGATTTGCTGTCGATATTGTGGATTGCAGATCGGAGTTTTCTAAGAAGAAGAAGGAGAACAAATTATTTTTTTAACACCAAAAAAGAAATTAGTATCTTACCTGACTCAGGATTAGATAATTCTCGAGCATAGGTTAAATATTTTTCATAACGTTTCTTGTAGCGTTGATGCATCACCAAACAACCGACAGTTACTGGAAGTTGTGAGAAGAAAAAATTAATAAAATGATTCTAGGCGAAACAAGTGATGTTTTTATTATATTTTTATCAGATTGAAAACTTTATGAAAACATCACTATGAACCAAATACATCATTTTATTATATTGTTAATTGCGTAAAGGAACTACATTTTAAATATTTCTCATATGAACTTAACTTGTCCATAAAACATTGTAAAATAATGTTCCTTGTTAGACACATTAACAATATGATAAAGCTGATATTTTAGTTAGTAACTCTTCAATTCAAAAATTTCTCATCATATTCCAATTGTTATCTTTAATATGCTGCCGATCTTGGCATTTCACTTACCGATGAAACACATTACCAACATAAATACTGATATTGCCGCCTGGGCATTGCCATATTGAAAACTGGGATTATGTTTCTCCCCGGACATAACATTGCTGTCGAAGGCCACCAACAAGCCAGATATTAATGTTGGAATGCCCCAAGCAAAGGCAATCTAGAGAAAATTAAAAAAAAAAACAAAAATAAATTATTTAAAAATAATAAAGAATATTTTCATTACTCACCATATAAGGCCACAGTTTCAATACAAAACATAAACTGCGACATTGTAAAAATAGCAATGAAATGGCCAAAATACCCGTCCACAATCGTGAACTATAAGTGCCGATGTTGAATAAGAAAAATTGTATCATCAATGGCCATTTTTGATGATGTTCCAATTTGGACCACAGTATGACACCGACACAGCACATTAGCTGGATAATAAAAAAGAAGGAAATTAAGGTTAGGTTATTTAGAACTAAAAAATTTCAAAAATATATTTTAATATTTTTTCCGTATATAGCCATAGGAGTCCTTTTTTCGAGATGTAACCTTAGGCAATGATGTATTGAAATTAGGCGTGTCCTTCTCATAATACCTTATTCAAGGAACATGACTTACAAAAATATTTTTTTAGAAGTCACCTAATTCATATATTATTAAAGTATTTTTAAGGGATGTTTTTGGCCAACTCACTTGTGACAATACCAAACAGAATGTGATACGATGTGGCAGACGTTTAAAACGTTTTGTAGTGATCAACAGCAACAACATCCAAATACAGGCAGCTACTCCAGCTACACTAATATCGAATGAGAATGCATCCAATTCATGGAGATAGTCAATGGGATTGAGATTGGTCAATGAAATCATTTTTGCCGATATAAACATGAGAGGTGCCGAGATGAACGTACACAAAACCATACTTTTGGCAATCTGAAAACCAAAAAAATTAAAGTTTAAATTATTTTTAATTTTAAAAATAAAAATTGTAATCTTACCAATTCCACTTCAATATTATATTGTGTGGCAATAACAAATGCCCCTGGGGCAGCGGGAAATGTACCATAGAGAAAACCAAATGTGCTCAACTCGGTGGTATCATTAAAATCAGAACCAGCCTGCATAATATTCACGGTTTGTCGGCATACCAGGGGGAGGACCAAACTGAAAGAAAAAATATTTGCTCATTTATATTTGGATTTGGAATAAAAAAAAGAAATTTGTTAATATTTTTTCAAGAAATATCTGAAAAATATTTGTTCAAGAATCTTCATTAGGCGTAGGATTTAAAAAATATATTTCTTGAAGGAATATCCGTATGCATGAAATAAAAAAAATTATTTTTTTCCAAGCATTTTTTAAATATTTTTTAAGGATCAGATAAAACGTGGATTATTTTAATATATTTTTTTTAGAACCAGGCAAAACGTAGATTTTTTTTCTAAATTTTTTAAAAAATGTATATCGGTATGCAAGTTTAAAAACAAATTCATGGGTCATCAATAGTAATCGATTTTTAAATGTATTTAAAAAAAACAATTGTCGGGGACTTTTAAAAATATTTTTTCTAGGATCTACACAAGCCACAGATATATCAAAATTTTCATTTTCTTTCATGCAAGAAATTAAAAAATACATTTTTACAAGGATTCAGGGACCAGATAAAATGTTTTCTTTTTTTAAGTACATCAAAGAATATCGGTAGGCAGGGATTTAAAAAAAATATTTTTTTTCATGGGCCATCAATAAGCATTGATTTTAAATGTATTTTTCTTTTAAGTAAACTAGGCCTTTGTTTAAAAAATTGTTTTCAAAGAATATCGGTATGCAAGGATTAAAAAAATCATGGGCCATAAATAAGCATGGATTTTTAAATGTATTTTTCAAAAAGCATCAATTGACGGGAATTTTTTAAACCATTTCTTTTAAAATATTTTCTCTAGGATCTACAAAAGCCGTAGATTTTTCAAAAATTGTATTTAAAAAAACAATTTTCAACGATTAGGATAAGGCGTGGATTTTTAAAATATTTTTCTTTGAGGACCAGCACAAGCCCTGGTATTTACTCACATTTTAACCAATATCAAAATGCCGGGCAGCAAAAATTCCGATCCCTTGAGAGAACGACCTTGTCCAACAATTTTTAAGCCCAATAAAAATAATGCTGTGGCCGAAAATGATTGACCAAAGACGCGTAAAACACTCGCCATCATTTCGGGTAAGCCATTGGAAAATATAAAGGAGCCGGCCACACCCAGCAGAGTCATCAGCAATAGGGGGTTGAAAAATAACGATTTTATGGTATTGAAAACAAGCAGGGTTTTTTCATTTAAACAGCGATTGCGTTTTGCCATCTGCTCCGCAGGACAGGTTTCCGGACACAATGGGGGATTTTGAATCTATAAATAAATTTCGATATTTTTCACGTTATCAAAGTAATACAAAATTTCATTGTTACCCTCACCTGTTCCGTTTTATTTTTAGCAATTTTGGCAATTTCCATTAAAATGAGACCAATTGGATTTAAAATGGCCAGGGATATGGGTGCCATTAAATACAAATAGGAAGCATATTCCGGGTGGACATCATGATACAAGGCCATTACTGGAAGATTAGAAAACATTCAAAATTAATTTAATATAATTTAAAGAGAATTTCCAAAGAAAAAAAAATTTCCACTCACCAATCGGATAACCAATTGCAAAATCATTACTCTGCGTACAGAATATACCCAACAGCCCCGCTCGAGCATAATTCAATGGCCTTGCCACAATCAGCGATATCAACAGCACCACAAAGAATACAATTGCCTTGGAGATCATCATTGCCAATAGAAACGTCCAATTAACTTTGCTCCAATTCAGTTCGACCAGTGACAAGAAAATCAGCGAGGGTAGGGCGAATGTACCCACAAATGTTCCCAGGCCTTTGGTTTCGGCATTTGTGATGATTTTAAAACGTCCCGCCAGATAACTGCACAAATAAATATGGAATTAGAATTGAATAATCAAATACAAACATTGATTTTGATTTATTTTAGAAAAAAAAATCCTTATCATTAATTGTAACAAATTGAAATTTTGTAATTGACTTTTAGCTGAACCCCGAGAAAAAAGCGAACTGCATTTTTCTTGTTAAAAACATTAAAAATTGCGTCAGATTTGTTTATTGTTTTCAATTACATTTGAGGTTTACACCTTCAAAAAATCATTTTAACTGACTTTGAAAAAATAATCCAATTCAATATAATCACTCATTAAGATTCAATACAGTTTGTATATAAATATGGAAAATAGTAGTTTTTAGATAATTAAGCAATATTAAATTTATATAAATAAATTGTAGTTTTTTTTAACCAAAAATAAAATCACAGAATATGAAGACAATATTTAATGAAAATTTAAATCTATAAAAATAGTATATATTATTTTTCTTGTTTGATTTTGTTTCGGCTTTTGGTTAAATAAAATTCAGTATTTTAAATTGCTGCTAGCATAGACAATTATTTATATATCACATGTTTTATATACAAAAACAATTTTATTATTATTAAATTTAAAATATTATTTTAAATTTCTATTTCTATTAAAAATAACTTTATTGCTATTTATTTTATTTAATGGGAGATAAGAAAGTATTGATTAGGAATTTGTTATATTAATCAGTTGTTGTCATAAAAAATTTCAAGAGAGGGAGAGAGAATCTTATTCACCGTCAATAGGCACTTCAACAAAACATATTTGTTGAATATTAAAAAATAAAAATATATAATATGTCAGAAGTCACACGTGCCCTTATATATATTACATTCGATTTTATTACACAAATACATATATATATACACTGGAAAAAAATTAGTTCATATATTTTATGAATAGTGTTCATAAAACTACAATACAGAGAGATATGGAATGAGTAAGTTATAAAGAGTATTATTTTGAGATTTTTGAGAACAGTAAGCGTGAATTTTCAAATTCTTATTTTAATAGGAAGAAAGAAAATGAAAAAAAAAATATTTTCAAATTGGGCAAATTTTTAAGGAATTTTTTAAGAATATCACAGTGGGGAGAGTTATCAAAGTGAGGATTTTGAAACAACTTTTTTGAGGTTGCTGGGAGTCTGGAGATTTCTGGTATCAGATTTGTTGTTGTATTAATCAACTGCTGTCAATTTTTTACACACAGACATACAAATACACAGAAAACCAGTAAGGAAGGTAGTAAAGTCGGACGGGGCCGTCTATATGATAACCTTCATCACTTTGGGTATATTCAACAGATGAATCCTAACAGACGTCGCATTTTTGAAGGACCAGTAAAATGAAATTGGATCCGTAAACGTGTCATTCTGTAACCTATACTAAATTGTTCATTTGGTCAGATATGTAAATCAATTTAAAAATCGATTTACGTTGTGCAAAATTTTGTGTCAATCGGACCCACCTTTTAGCGGCATTTATATCCAATTTCTAGGTTATACTAACTTCAGTAAGTCGTGCAAAATTTGTGCCAATTTGGTGTAAAATCGGACGAAAATATATATGTAGAAGCTATATCAAAATCTGAACGGATTTCAACGAAACTTGCAAGAGATAAACTTATATTAATTATCATTGTTCAAAATGGTGTGGCAATCGGAAAAAGTTTGGGTCTTTAGTGCTCAATTTACATAAAATCGGAAGAAAATATATACAGGAGCTATATCTAAATCTGAACCGATTTTCAGAAAACGTAACACCCACGATATGCCAAATTTTGTGCAAATCGAAAGATATATAGGAACTTTGGTACAACATTTACATTAAATCGGACGAAAATATATATGGGAACTATATCTAAATCTGGACCGATTTTCATGAAACTCAACACACATCATTATAGACCATATTCAGTACGCTGTGCCAAATTTCGTGCAAATCGAAAGATATATACGGACTTTGGTAAATCATTTACATAAAATCGGACGAAAATATATATAGGAGTTATATCTAAATCTGTAGCGATTTTCAGGAAACTTAGCTCACATCATTCTAGACATAATACATTACGATATGCCAAAATTTGTGCAAATCGAAAGATATACAGCGACTTTGGTAAATCATTTACATTAAATCGGACGAAAATATATAGAGGAGCTATATCTATATCTGGAACGATTTTCAGGAAACTTAACACATATAATACTAGAACTAATTCATTACGCTATGCCAAAATTCGTGCAAATCGAAAGATATATAGGAACTTTGGTACACAATTTACATTAAATCGGACGAATATATATATATATATATATATATAGGAGATATATCTAAATCTGAACCGATTTTCACGAAAATTAGCAAATATTTTTATTTAAATATTTTTCACAAATTCCACGCATATATTTTTTCAAAAATGCAGATTGATGTCTTATAATTTCAATATTGAAATGCAAAAATTAAATGCATGCATGAAATGTTGATAAGATTTTTTTTTACCGCTGAATCAAAAAAATAATAATCAGCAAATTGAAAAAAATGTGTATGTGATAGGCTCGGCTAAGTTGTAATTGATTCCAATTACCCTTTACGATAACATATTTATTTTGCATATAATTTTAATGTCTAAACGCATTTTTCCTGCAAGTATCATAAAAACAGCGTGGCTGTTCTTTTTTATTTAATTAACATTTCAGTTAATATTGAATCGAATTGCTTTTAAAAATCAACATGTGGCCATTTTCAACAAATAAATACAAATAATCAAAAAAAATATTATAAAATCAGCATTTAAAAAAACTCAATGTATATTTTTCCTAGTCTGGCTTGGTTAGTGGTTTGGGGTTATTTTCGATTTGCCGAGAGTCTAGAAATAACAGCTGTGTTCATTAACCTTTTGAGGTGATGTTTGCCGTTGCAGTTACCAAGTGTAATCATATCATTTATAGATTCCGATTTTTTTATGAAACACATGCTGAAATTCAAATTTTGTAAAATAATGGAAAAAATTTCTTTCAAGGTCTATCAGGACAATAGGCGTTGATTTTTAAAGAAATTTCTTTGAAGGTCTATCTGGACAATAGGCGTGGATTTTTATAGAAATTTCTTTGAAGTTTTATCAGGACAATAGGCGTGGATTTTTAAAGAAATTCCGTTGACGGTCTATCAGGATAACAGGCGTGGATTTTTTAAGAAATTTCTTTCAAGGTCGATCAGGACAATATGAGTAAATTTTTAAAGAATTTTCTTTCAATGTCGATCAGGACAATATGAGTAAAGAATTTTCTTTCAAAGTAGATCAGGAAAATATGAGTAAACTTTTAAAGCATTTTCTTTCAAGGTCTATTAGGGCAATAGGAATTAGACAATTCGTTTATTTGCAATCCGACCCATTTCTCATTGGTTTCACAAACAGGATGTAATGTTTTCTTTTCTCTTATTAGACAACGACGGCAATAGATATCTTTAAAAAGGAAATAAATTACGCACTTTATGGTAATTATAGAGTTTAGAAATTAATTACAATAGTGGCCGTAAATTAATTACCTGGTGGTAAATAATTATAAATAAGAAAACTTTCTATTCTGATATTCCCCGCCGCTTTGCAAAATATTTCCTGCCGTCTGACAAAAAAACGTCTCTAATTACAAGCAATTACAACAAATAGTGCGAATGAAATGTTTAAATATTGAGTATTTAACCGGCTTTCTATAATAATAACAACAACATGGAATTGATTTATACGCGTGTCCAGTATTTAAATTATTTAAACAGACAACAACAAAAATGACTCAGACAAGTGAGTAGTAGTGCAATGGGTAGACAAAAATAAACCCAACAACAAAAAAATACAAAATTGTATTATATATTTGTTGTTTTTATTTTTTGGGACAATAAACAAATAACCCGTTCAAAATCAATCTATCAATTGAATGCCCAAAATTATAAAAAAAGAAAAAATAAAACCACAACAACAAATACTCCCCCGTATATGGCAAATTTACGTTTTTTAATTCGATCGAATAAAGTCAGTGAACTTTGTGATTTGGTTTTGAATTATCCAAAAATTGAAGCAACCTTTGATTGATATGTAGTTACCCGTATTCTTGGAAATCGTCTTTATAGATTTATGTGCAAAAAAATATTTGTTCATAGATGGTTTTGAGGTTAATTTTTAAACAATTTTATTTAGACATCGTCCAGGTAGATGAAATTTCCGGCAAATTAAAAAAAATATATACTGAGGACTATGGGCTCGGATTTTTAAACATTTTCTTTTAGAATTTACATTCTTTTAAAAAAGCCATTCTAAAGGCTCTGATAAGCCTCATTAAAAAGTATGGATGCAAACATATTCTTTAAAGGTGTCTTGAAATATTTATGGACACAATTTCAAGAATTTTAAATCGTAAATCTTCCAAAACTTTAAGAACTGAAAGTCTTTCAGGACAATAGAAATGGAGTTTAAAAAAATATTCCGAAAGTTTTTGAGAGATGTGCATTGCATGTCTATCAGGGCAATAGATAGGTGGACATTTATTTCGTAACAGGTATATCAGAGAGGCAAGAAGTGAACTATGTACAATCTTTATAGGAGGTCCACCAATACAATAGGAATTTTTCTGCGGAGGTGTCAGGACAAAACATGCGGTTTTTTTAACATGTTAGCAATCCCTTCGAACAAAAGATTTATTGTTATCTTGCAGGTCAATAATTCAAACAATAAATATTCTCCAAAAATATACTCTTTAACAATTCACGACTAGAGCTCCGCTGGTTATCTTATAAAAAATTACTAACAAATCCAGTCTAAGGCTCTATTTAAGCTCCCAAAATTATTCTTTACAAAATCCAGGCTAGGGCCCTATTTATCCTCCTAAAAATATCCTCTAAAAACCCAGGCTAGGGCTCTATTTATCCTCCTAAAAATATTCTCTAAAACATCCAGGATAGGACCCAATTTATCCTCCTATAAATATTCTCTAAAAATCCCTAG